ACGGAGCACTGTGCTTGATCGCAGTGCAGTTCCCAGATTGGTTCACTTGGGGAAATAGATATCTCTCCCCCAACCTGTTTCAGAACAGACTTTTATAAAGTAAATCAAATATCCTTTTGACTGTCATTTATATATGTGTGTTTTTGTTTATATATTTATATAGTGTGTGTGTAAATGTGTGTGTGTGTGTATATGTTAATATATATACCTTTTATTTTGAAATAATAAAAGATTCAAGACGCTCAAGAAGTTGCAAATTAGTTCAGAGGAAACAATTGCACAGAGAGTTCCCGTGTACCCTTCACATGGCTTCTCCTGATGAGAACATTTTACGTGACTGTCTTACATTATCAAAACAGGAAGTTGACATTAGCACAGTACTGTTAACCCCAGTACAGACCTTGTTCAATGTCTCCCATTTCTACACGCACTCTTGTTTACGTGAGTCGTGCTCCGACTGCCGTATTTTTGGGGCTGTGTCTCCCCAGCTCCCACTGTCCCTTCTTGTTCTGGTTGCCCACAGCGGTGACGAAGAGCATCGTGCCTATCCCAGGCACGCCCATGGTTACACGACGCGACGTGCCTCGCTTTTCCACATCGTTTCATTGTTGAGGACGGGGGAGAGATAACTGGGGAGGAATGTGGTTCTCTAAGACCTGCTCTCTCACTCTCTGTTTTCCTTTCCTTCTCGTTCAGATCATGTTTCACTCCTTTGGCGACAAACAAGGGCCCCAGCACGGGATGCTGATCAATACTCCCTACGTCACCAAGGACCTGCTGCAGGCCAAGCGATTCCAGGCCCAGTCCCTGGGGACCACCTACATCTATGACTTCCCGGAAATGTTCAGGCAGGCAAGTCTGCGGCACAGATGCGTCACCCCCCCAACCAGCTCCTCCCAGCAGACTCCACCAGAACCAACCCCCTGTCCTTAGATCCTTTTCTAAAGACTCAATCTAAAGAACAAGGTGTGGGGCCAGGTACAGTGGCTCATGCTGGTAATCCCAGCACTTTGGGAGGCCAAGGCAGGAGGATCACTTGAGGTCAGTTCAAGACCAGCCTGGGCAACATAGCAAGACCCCGTCTCTACAAAAAATAAAACAAAATTAGCTGAGCATGGTGGCACGTACCTGTAGTCCCAGCCACTCAGGAGGCTGAGTTGAGGCAGGAGGATCACTTGAGCCCAGGAGTTTGAGGTTGCAGTGAGCTATGATGATGCCACTGCACTGCAGCCCAGGTGACAGCGAGACAGTCTCCAAAAAAAAAAAAAAAAAGATCTTCACGAAGAGAAAGAAATTAATGTTGGGATGGACTTCATACTTCATAGTATATTTTCCCAAAATAAACCTAATTTATCCCAATGATAGAGGTAATATGATTTAGAAACTTTGGAAAATAAAGGGCAATAGAAAAAAGAAAAAAGTAACTTGTAGTGCCACACCCTAATGGCAAATTGCTTAACATTTTGATGTGTTTCCTTCTGGTCTTTTTCATGGTCATTTATTAAGTACCTGGTACTTGGCAGTCACCATTCTGAGGCTAGATAGACCACGAGGAAGAGGATGGGGTCACTGCCTTTGAGGAAGCTTTAGTCTACTTTTAAAAAATAACGTTTTGTTATACTTTTCTGATTATTAAAGTATACGTTGGAAAATTAAAGCCACTGGGAGTCAGTTAGAAGCACAAACTATACAGGAAAAGCCGGATACATTTATGTTGAAACTTACAAGTTGTTTAGACAAAAGAGAAAAGATGAAGCCCCAGATTGGGAGAATTTGTTTCAGTGCCTATTATCATCAACTAGATGATCTTGAGAACGCTTATATAAATCAATTAGGAAAAAAGAAAAAGCAAAACTATTAAAACGGGCAGGAGTTATAAGCAGGAAACTTGCCAAAAAGAAACTTGCATGGTTGACAAGCATATCAAAAGGCGGTCACTTCAGTAATAATCAGCAAAGTACAGATCAATACCACGACACAATTTCCCACCCAGCAGATGCGTAAACATATAAAAATCTGGCAAAACCAAATGTTGGAGAATGTAGGGGGCAAAGGAGCTCTTATATGTTCTTACTGGGCTTTTAAAGGAGTTCAAAAAATTTGGAAGCTGTTTGATAACGTCAGGTGATGTTGAAGGTTCCCATTCCCTGTGGCCCAGCCGTTCTGCTGGGTGTGTGTGTTGGGGGGGGTGGGGAAACTCTAAGCCTTGCTTCTAAGAAGAGGCTGTAAAAATGTTCATTACAGCCTCATGGGTAATAGCGTAGAACTGGAAACAACCTACATGTTCCTAAATAGGGTGATGAGTAAATAACTTGTGGTACAGTCATACCATGGAAAACTGAACAGCAGGGATCAAGAGCTAAATGTAACAACATGGAAAAATCTCGCAAACATCATGGGGAGTAGGAAATGTAAGTGGCTGAAGGATGTGTCCAGGATGGTGCTGTTTATTTAAAATTTGTTTAAATAATACTATGTGTTTTCAATGTATGCATATATGATGAAGTGAGTACATAAGAAAGTGTGCTCAGGACTAGCATCGCTAATGGTTACTCGGGGTGGACCGGGGAGGAGGGTAAGGAGTGGCAGGGGGAGGGTATACCAGGGGCTTCACCTGCATTTTTCTTCTTTCTTTAAAAAATCTTTAGCAATTATGGAAACATTAAGATTTGACAAAGCCACCAGGTGGATGCCTGGGTGTTCATTTATTATTCTACATAGGGTGGTTTTTTTTTTGTATGCTTCAAATATTTCACGATTAAAAAAGAAAGAACTAGAAAATTCACACTGAAATCATGACAGATCTCCCCCATCTGATGCCTTCAAGTTTTTCGTCTTTCCTCTGCTCTCCCCAGGCTCTCTTTAAACTGTGGGGCTCCCCAGACAAGTACCCCAAAGACATCCTGGTGTTCACTGAGTTAGTGCTGGACTCCCAGGGCCAGCTGGTGGAGATGAACCGGCTCCCTGGTGGAAACGAGGTAACGGCTCAGCAGAGCCCGGCCCCCGGCTGCAGTCACCCTTTGTACAAAGCTCCCCCCGAACAGACAGACTCACCTTCCCTGTGTGTTCGTCGTCTTCCCAGGTAGGCATGGTGGCCTTCAAAATGAGGCTGAAGACCCAAGAGTATCCAGAAGGGCGGGATGTGATTGTCATCGGCAACGACATCACCTTCCGCATCGGATCCTTCGGCCCAGGGGAGGACCTTCTGTACCTACGGGCGTCCGAGATGGCCCGGGCAGAGGGCATCCCCAAAATCTACCTGGCAGCCAACAGTGGGGCCCGCATCGGCATGGCAGAGGAGATCAAACACATGTTCCAGGTGGCCTGGGTGGACCCAGAAGACCCCCAGAAAGTACGTCATGAAGCTGGCGTGGCAGGGTGATTCCGTTCTGCGAGTGTCTTTGCAGTGGGGGTGATAGCACCTGCCAGAGGACGGGAAACATCTTACTCTTTTTATGTGTAAAGCACCGGTAGACAGGTAGCGCCTAAACAGCCATGCAGCGTATCAGTGGCTTTAAAATTTCATTGGTGGGGAGGGCGGTGATTAGGAAAAAAAATGTCTAAAAAGGCTCCTTAGGGGAATAATAATGAATCAAAGTTTATAAATGCTGAGCTGATACATACGTAGCGTCTCCTGAAAGCAGCGTGCACTGAAAATGCAAAGGTGAAAAATACGCCGCCGCTGGCGTACATTCGCCCCTACCGTATTGACCCTTTTTTTAAAAAACAGTGGCTGTCGGCGCAGGTAACTGGATTCATAGCCTCACTGAAGTCTATTTTTTAAGGGATTTAAGTACCTGTACTTGACCCCCCAAGACTACACCAGAATCAGCTCCCTGAACTCCGTCCACTGTAAACACATCGAGGAAGGAGGGGAATCCAGGTAAATAACTCATCGGGTGGCTCCTTAATTTTGTTCATGGTTCGTGTCAGCTAGTCACAGGGAATTGGTCTCGTTTCCTCTGGACTCGTGGGGATTGATATTTTCAGGTGGGTGGTGGTGGTGATTATAGTGTAAGACCCCTGTGCTTCCACAGTGGGGAACTGATGACTTAAACATTTGGGACATTCTCCAGGGTGAACCCATCCTTGTCATTCTAAAATGACTCACCCCTTCCACAAAAATAGCACGTCCTGCAGGGAGAATTAGATTGGATCCTCAGGATGTCCCAGGAGCTGCAAGCTCACACTTTATGACCAAATTAGCTGAACCGATGCAGTGGTGATTTGGCGAGCTGGGAAGATAGGGGCAGGGAAGGGATCTGCTCTTTGCGGACATCAAAGGTAGTGTGTCTTTCTTAGTGGGATTGACTAAATCAGGAATTCTTAGACTGGCTTTTTCGGAATGTTAGTTAGAGATATGTAGGGGAGAAAAAAATTTCCGCAGTCAGATGAGTTTGGGAAATACTGGGTTAAATGAGATTTAGTAAGCATCTGTACTGTGCAGGCCTTGTCAGAACCTTTAACATGCTGAAGCTCTCTGTGAATCTCTGACAGGGGTTTGACCGGACAGGCTTATGTGGTCGTGGAATCTTGATTGTGAACAGGCTTCAGCTGTGTACCCCCATCTTTCTGTAGATTGCTTTTGGAGGAATGCGGGGTAGAGTGACGTTTTACTAAGGCAGCCTCTGAACAGACAGACATCTTAGGTCAAGGGACAAGGGTGATAATTTTTGATGCTGTACTTGCTCTTTTAGAAATGTTAGTACCCGTCGTGAGGGTTCTAGACCCCTGCTTTCATTTAGCCTCTGGCTGCTTTTCCACTTTCAGTCTCTCACCTTACTGCCCCGTCCTTCCTGCCTTGGGTCCTTGGGACTTTCTGGGTCAGAGCTCGGTCTTTAACCTGTGTTTGCTTTTGGCAGATACGTCATCACGGATGTCATTGGGAAGGACGATGGCTTGGGTGTGGAGAATCTCAGGGGCTCGGGCACCATCGCTGGGGAGTCCTCCCTGGCTTACGAAGAGGTCGTCACTATTAGCTTGGTGAGTCCCCTCCTAGTTCCTTTTCTTTTTTGACTCTCCATTACAGAGACTTTCAAATAGTCCCAATAGAGAGGATCGGTGACGGGCGCCACGTGCCCATCGCGAAGCTCCCCTGGTCATCCGTAGCAGCCCTTCCTGTGTCCTTCCTGTGTCTTCTGTCCACCTCCTGCCCCCACCCCGCTTAGAATATTTTAAAGCCACCTCCCCATTACGTCTTTTCACTCGGAAATACTTCAGGGTGGATCTGTAACCCATAACGAGATGAGGGCTTTTTCTTTCCTTTTTTACGTAACCGTAATACTGTTACTACACCCTCCCCAAATCAACAACTCTTTCAGATCATCGGAACCCAGTTTTGGTTCCTGTTTCAAGAGTTATCTCAGAAGTATCTTTTTATAGTTGCCTTATTTGGATCAGGGTCCAATCTCCTCTTATTTCAAAGGTATCGAGTGTTTAGAAGAACTTGTGTCTGACTTTAACTGTAGAAAATGAGTATTCCTCCTCCCCGCCGCATGGCCTTTCTAAATATTTTCTGTGTCTAGTAGCAGTCGTAGTAGCATTAGGTTATTAAATATGGAAAGTCCGAGTTCCTTAAGTACTAAGTTTGACAGTTGATATCTCTGACATTTCACTTGGACCATGGATAAGTCAAAAATTCGTGTTATTTTCAAATATGACTTCTCTTGTGGAACCATTGCAGGCCAGGAAGCTCAAAATATCAGTGAAGTGTTTGGGAAGGATGTGGCTAATGAATGCATAGGACGTTGATGGTTTGAGAAGTTCCATTCTGGTGATTTTAATCTTGAAAATGAGCCATGTGGGTGACCTGAGACCAAGGTGGATAGTGAGGAGCCAAAAGCTGTAGTGGAAGCGAATCCATCTCAGCCTACGTGTGAATTAGCAGCAAGGGTTGATGTTATTATTCCAACAATATTGGACCATTTGAAACAAATGGGCAAGGTAAAGAAGCTGGATAGATGGATTCCACATGAATTAAATGAGCATCAGAAGAGAAATTGCCTCAAAGCTTGGCGTTCTTTGCTGTCATGACATAAAGGCAAACCATTTCTACACCGTATCGTTATGTGTGATGAATTTTGACAATCGAAAACATTCAGCACAATGGTTGGATAAAGACGAAGTGTCAAAACACCTGTCCAAAACTGAATATCCATCAAAAAAAAGCTAATGCTGTCTGTCTGCTGGTCCGGCACTGGTATTATCCGCTCCAGCTTGATAAAACCTGGTCAGTCGATTACAGCGGGTGTCTACTGCAACCAACTGGACAAAATGATGAGGACACTTGTGATTAAGCAGCCAAGACTGGTCAATAAATGCAGGCCAATCCTCTTGCAAAGCCACATGTTGCAAAAAAACAACGCTGCTCTAACTACAGAAGCTGGACTTGGAAACTCTCTGTCATCCACCATCAGACCTTGCACCAACTGACTACCACTCCTTCTAGGCTTTGGACCACTTCTTGTGAGGAAAAATATTCAATCCTCAACAAGCTGTGGAAAACGCCTTTCACGATTTCATTGCCACTCGCTCTCCAGGCCCCTTCTCTGCTGGCAAAAGCAAGCTACTGTTAAACTGTGTTGATAGTTTAGCCACATACTTTATTTGTACCGCTTCTTGTTTGAGGTATAATAAGCTGTACTTTTGATTCGAAATCAAACATTTCATATTTAATGACCTAATGGTAATAGTACTCTTTAACGATAAACTGTCATTCAAGGCCTTACTTTTACATGCAAAGTTAGATCTTCAGCCTCTAAGGTAGATGATGCTGGCCATAAGTGTCTTCCTTATTCTTGTTCTCTAGATATTATTTATATGTATATATATGTGTGTGTGTGTGTGTGTGCATCTTTTTATTTTGAAATAGTTAGGACTCACCAGAAGTTATAAGACAGTGCACAGACTCCCCATGTACCCTTCACCCACCTTCCCCTGTGGCAGCATCTTCTGTAACCATAGTACATTAGCAAAACCGGGAAATTGATGTTGGTGCAATACTGTTAACTCAGTACAGACTTTATTCGGATTTCACTAGTTTGTACACGCACTCATAGACGTCCTCGTGGTTTTGCAAGAGGCTGTGATGGCTCACGAATGGCCAAGCTCAGGAGAGCGACACACAAGCCTCTTAACAT